TGCTTCAGTTCTCTAGGGTAGGGCCCTAGTCTAGCTGGCTGCAGTTGGAGAAGAAAAGGCCTATTTCACAGAACATCTGGTACTGTACATCTTTAATATTCTGAATCCTAAGTTCCCCTGCTGTGAAAATGGACTGTGGCATTCAGTTTTATCCAGGAATCCTTTAACTGAACCTGCGAGAAGAGAAATGAAGTTGCTGGGGCATATGGGCATTGTTCAGTGTTTCTGTTCTGGATATGGGATTATGGGTTCATGACTCATGACTCAACTGGCAAGTTAGGGCCCTTTAAGGGGTACCATATTCTTGGAAGAAAAAGTAATCAGTGTGCAAAGGGCCATAGACATTTTTTTTCCTTTTTGGAGCCTTGTTCAACGAAGTGATCATTGCCAAAATCAAGAGAAGCTGAGTTGCTTTTTGAACATGTGCTTCCCTTCTCTCACTTCTCAGATCTATCCAATACATCAATGATGAGTAGATGAGAAAACAGAAGATGTTATGTGGGGGAATTTTTGTAATAATCAAGAGGCACCAATGATATTGAATGTGTCCCATACTCTACTTAGCATCCCCTGCTTCACCCTGAGTCCTCTCCATAACAAAAATTTATTACACGCAGTATCCATTAAGCCATTTTTTAGGTCCAAGTAATCATCATCATCGCCAATAGGATAACATCGTTCTCTCATATGCCTCCAATGAGACATGATCAAATTAATCAAAGGAGGTCTTTTGAACCTTATATGGGAACTAAAAATTTCTCCACACATGCTCACAGCTCATTGATTCCCCTTTCTGTGGGTTTTTCCGAGACTAGGAGAACCCAACTCACACATGTTGTCATCAAAATATAAAAATAACAATATGCTCTATACCACTTTTGCTTAGCACCAACCAAAATTTTCTCATGGGTGGTGGGCCTCTGGTTTCCCTTGATGACCATATTACAGCTAAAACCCTATTCGTACTTTGCTTATCACAGCTTTGGAAGAATAATTTTGCTTTTCTATATATATATATATGCATTTGCAGCACCTCATAAACTAACAAGGTTTTGCTAGCTTAAATTGACCACACAATGAGAAGTCGCTTTGAAAGGAACTATTGAGTTCTCCTTCACCACAAACTAGCACCCTAGCAAAAGGATCAGAATGCAGAGACAATGGAAACATTGCATGTGGAATTTTATTTTTGCCAGTTCGAAAGTGTCAACAAATTGTGGAAAAATTCTGTGCATGCTCGTGATATTTTTCTCAACTAATAAATAGTTTTAATCAAG